CCGAAAACGCTGATGTTGAAGTCAGTTATTTAGGGGAATGTAACAAATTGATAAACAAATACCATATGCCATATGCCGAATGTACCTAGCATTTCTGAAGCGTTTTTGGGTGATATAAAAATGATTCTACCAGCACCAAAATTATGCGGGAATGCAAAACGCCAACAGGCGTATTATTCATTCAATTTAGATTTTTCGCAAATTGATTTGCGCTAATTTAATGTTCAGACTTTTATTGTTTGTGCCAAAGAGGCTATGCTTAAAATGTGATTTTTATTTGTTCTTAATAAAAAAAAATTGTAGGCAGCCCCATTTAAACAGATTTTTTTAAATTCTATTTTTTAATAATAAATACCTAATTTCTGAAAACGACTGTTTTTTAATAGAAATCCACAAAGAAAATTCGCTTGAGACACTTTAGTTCTGTTGCGATTCACTATGACCCTGTCAGTTAGCCAATGTGCCCTAATGGTGAGGTTCAGTGGATCAACTGCAGTAGTTTTTAAATAAATAATAAAATGTAATAAGACATTTTCCCATAATTAATTTATGCCACAAATATGTTTAACGAAACCACAAAATATATTCACAATAAATGGCAAGTATTTCTTCCCAATGATATATGAAATATATTAAATATAAATAAAATTGATCCACAGTGACCGACATTCCCTACTGCAATGGATTTTGATACGAGGAGGAGGAAATATCAATAAGAGCTTATTTTTTGTACACAAATGTCACTAACCTCGCTTTTTAAAATGATTTATTTACTCTAAAATAACTACAAAATTTACGCAAGAAGAAATTTTTATAGAAAACACAAGTTTTTAATTATAAATTGTAATTTTTTTATTGATTCATAAAGCATAATGGAATAGCATATAGGGTAAATGGCCTACGTGGCTTTGCTGGCAATTATGCACTATTTCGTAGAAATTTTCCATGACCGTTTGCATAAATGCAGCTGAATTTCATTGGCATAAACCTTAAACTCCAAAAAAATCAAAGAAGAAAGTCCAACGGTGTTAAATTGCATGATCTGGGCGATCAATTCTGTTCAATAAAACAATAGGAAATTATACGACCTGAAAATGACTCATGCAGTACCTAATTGAATTGTTTCTCGGGCTGTATGTCATGCTGCAAACTACAATAATTGATTACATCCATATATTGTAATTTAGCCGCAAAAAACTGGATTATCATGTCGCGATATGGAGCACCATTAACTGTAATTACCTAATGGTCCTATGATGCCTCCAATCAAAATCCGCACCAAACACCATCGACATGAAAATGAGCCTCATCGCTGAAGATGATTTTGTTCGAAAAATCTGCATCCACTTGTTATTGTTCCATAATCGATTCAACAACTCTCCTCGCTCAGTCAGTGGGCTTCAATTCTTTAGTCAATTGGACTTTGTAAGCATGTAGATGCAAATATTTAGTGAGAATACGCTGTAAAGAGCTTCTCGAAATGCCCAATTCTTGACCACGGTGCCGAATTGATGTTGCTGGACTCTCAGCAACACTCTCATAAACTACTTCGATGTTTTGTGTTGAACGACTTGTAGAAGGACAGCAAGAGTGTTTAAGATCATTAATTGATCCAGTCTCGTTAAATTTTTCAATTAATCTTTTCACAGTTGATGAAGTTACAATATTCCGACCGTATTTTGTACGAAAATTACAAACTATAGCTGCCAAACCTTCAATATTTTAAAAATATTGCCCAACAACAAACACGCTTTGTTGTTTCGTGTAGCGTTCCATTTTAGTAACGCTGTCTCTTTTCGTTGGCAACACTTTACCGCACAAATGGCGCAAAATTCAAATTTTGCACGAATTTTGGAACACTCGATTGTTGCACTTCGCTAAAATACACCGTCCCAAAGAAAAATGTAGGTATTTCAATTTTTTACTGCAAATATCAGTTACAATCAGCCTAGAGTTTGGAGGTATTCTATTCTAATTAAACTTTTTCCACTAAATTTATCAATTTAAATAGTTCTTTGGATTTACATTATAACAATGGCATAAGTATTGCAGCTCTTTTTTAATCATGGCCAACTGCAACCTTTTTTTAATTTAATAAAATAAAAGCAATTATACCCACTTTTTATTCCATCTAACGTAACGCTCTCATTCACAAAATTAAGCAATACGTGACAATATAATGCACTCTTAATAGTTACGGTGAGATGAGGTTTGATATCTTTAATAATAAGAGAGATATAGTCAAGAGAATATTGGATAAGCAATTACCACCTATATCATCAAGGCTTCATACAGGGATGGCCAGAAGTACGGAATAAAATTCATATCTTTTGAATGAGTTATTTTTTTTAAAACGCTGGAACACGTTAACTGATTTTGATTTTTTCCCATCTTTCGGTTATATAATAATTAATTTTTCTTCAACCCCCTAACCCCCAGCTACCCCTACTTTTTGTTTCAAATGGAAAGATAAGGCATGAGGGGACTCGTTGAAAAGCTTATAGAAAACTGAATCCAGCCATACCAAATAAACAAGTTTTATTTTTTCAATAGCAAGGTTTTTAGGGTTGTACAAAACACCTACTTAACAAGTGAAATAAAATTTAATTATCTTCAGTGTTATCCTCCATGAATTTGCACAGAATAAAATAAAGAATTTGAAACTGTACCTATCACTGCTAACGCAAAAAAGATATATTTTTTATGTTGCGTTTTTTTGGCACCACTTACTTGCCAGGCTTTCTGGTTAATTTTTCGCTTTAGTTGTAAATTGGAGTTCGAAACGTTACTATTGTGTCAAAATCAAGTTATTTACTGAATTGCAATGGTATTGTCGGAAAGGCAACGCATCGAAATCTTGATATTGCTTGGATGTGGAGACAAAATAAGAAGTCAGGCTGAAGTGCGCGATTTATTTAATGCGAAATATCCCGAAAACCAAATCTCGCAAGGGACAGTTAGTAAAATATTTCACAAATTTGAGGAACACGGTACAGTACAGACTTTGCCCAAAACTGGACGGGCACGTGCTTTGAATGAAGAAAAGAAATTAGACATTGCATTAGAACTTGTTGAAAATCCTCATACTTCAACTGTTTCATTGGCCCGCAATCACGATGCTTCTCGAACTGCAATTCGAATGTTTCTGAAACAAGAGAAATACCACCCCTATAAGGTATGTCTTGTCCAAGAGCTTTTGGAAGACGATTATGATAGGCGATTACAATTTTGTGAGGAAATGATGAGACGGTGTGACGACAATAATGGTTTTCAACGAGACGTACTTTTTTCGGATGAAGCTACGTTTTATTTAAATGGAGTGGTTAACAGGCACAACTATCGCTTTTGGTCCCAGGAAAATCCACACTGGACATGCGAATCGCATACGCAGCATCCACAAAAAGTTAATGTATGGGCAGGTATCATCAACAACAGAATCTTGGGCCCATTCTTTTTTGAAGAAAATCTTACTGCCGCACGCTACCTGGATTTCCTAACATTTGACCTGATACCTGCTCTAGCTGTGATTTTCCCTCATGAAATTGATCCAGATATACCGAATGAAAGAATTTGGTTCCAACAAGATGGCGCTCCCCCACATTTTGGTATTGATGTTCGAAGATACTTAGATGAAATGTTTCCAAATCGCTGGATTGGTAGACGGGGTACAGTTGAATGGCCGCCAAGATCCCCCGACTTAACACCCCTGGATTATTTTCTTTGGGGATATTTGAAAGAAAGAGTCTACCAGGACAGACCGGATAATATTGAGAATTTAAAGAACAAGATTAGGGCGGAGATGCATAATTTACCAGCTGAAGTCATTCAGAATGCTGTGGACAGCTTTTACTATCGTCTTGGAGAATGCCAAATAGTGAATGGAGGACATTTTCAGCATTTGCGACATTGAGTTTATTTTTGTAAATTATCTAGTTGTTTCAATTTCTAAATGAAAAAAAACTTGTTATTGAAAAAATAAAACTTGTTTATTTGGTATGGCTGGATTCGGTTTTCTATAAGCTTTTCAACGAGCCCCCTCATGCCTTATGTTTCCATTTGAAAAAAAAAGTAGGGGTAGCTGGGGGTTAGGAGATTGAAGAAAAATTAATTATTATATAACCGAAAGATGGGAAAAAATCAAAATCAGTTGTGTTTCGGCGTTTTAAAAAAAATTAACTCATTCAAAAGATATGAATTTTATTCCGTACTTCTGGCCATCCCTGTATATTATGACGTGTTATCATTAAATTATGTATTACGGCGAAAGAAATGATGGATCAAGTAAAAGATAAACTAATTTTAATTAAAAATTGTTTCTTTACATTTCTACTTTGTTGATTTACTTAACCATTTCGAGAAAACGTAACTGTAACTTTGTATCATTTGATATTTCAAAATCTTGTTATCTGCTTTCATAAGTACAACGAAAAGCACATTAATCTTTTACAATGACAGGTTCTAATAAAAATATTTTCTATATCATTAGAGGTGGATCCCTCAGACCGTACGTCATTGCAATTTTTGAAATGAGTTTCTTTGCAGTAAAATTATTTTTAATTTTACCCATACAGACATATATTGAGCAAAACTCAGTCAATATGTATTATTTAATTAAAAATAATAATAAATTTGATTGAGAGATCAAATGGTATCAAATTCCGATTTTGCACGGATTATAAGTGTAGAAAGTGCACAAAAATTATTCTACCAAGTCTCCTGAAAAAATGTATGTGTTAAAAATTAATTTTAAAACAGAACTTACTCTTTTAATGCTGACCTATTTGTATTTGATAAAATTTATCGTTTCTGAAATTATGGTTAACAACAGTTTCAGAATGTGAATTTTAACGCCCTTTATATCTTTTATTTCAGTTTCTGAATCTATATTCACATAAACTCTTTTTCTTTTCTATTTAGTATATGGGTATTTAATTCGCTTTGGTTGATAAAAGTTTCGGATCCATGTAAGTAATTTTAATATAAAAATCAACTTATCAGTATGAAATAGTAATAGATTTTATTTTTCTATATATTTACAAGACACAACAAATTAACTTAAATAATTGAGTAAACCCGCCTGTTCCACCATTTTGTAGAACATGCCATCCTTGTTTTCCATCAAACCTACGGGATCATCAAATTCTTTAATTTCGCCTCTGTCCAACACCATTACCCTGTCACATTCTAGAATTGAATGAAGCCTGTGTGCAATTGTAAATACTGTGCAATCAGAGAAATTCTCCTTTATGGTATCGTGCAATAAGGCGTCGGTTTCATGGTCCATATTTGCTGTGGCCTCATCGAGAACTACTACTTTCGTTTTCCGTATGAGTGCTCTAGCCAAGCACATTAGTTGCTTTTGACCGGAACTGAAGAATGCCCCGCTGTCGGTGATCTCAAAATCTAAAGTTTTTATCAAGTTCTTGAGATGTAATTTTCCTAAAACTTTCCAAATATCCTCGTCCGCAAATTCGTTGAAAGGATCGATATTGGTTCGGATTGTTCCTGTGAATAATACAGGGTCTTGGGGAATTATAGCAATTTTTGTTCTTAGAAATTTCAGAGACAGAGTTTTTAGATCGACTCCGTCAATTATAACCTTCCCTTCGACCTCGTAAAGTCTAAACAATGTGGAGATTATAGAGGATTTCCCGGCACCCGTTCTTCCCACTATTCCTATTTTCTGTTTCGGTTCCACCTTAAAGTTTAAGTTTTTCAGTACTTTTTCATTGTTATTATAAGTCAGCGTAACATTTTCATATGTTACTGCTCCCTCAGTGGGCCAGTTCTCCACGGTAACACCTCCAGTGGGTTCTTGTTTTATCTCTGTATATTCCAAAACCCTCTCCACTGATGTCATTAGGTTTTCGAGGTCAGCCCATTGGCGCACACCCCATTGGACATGTCCAGCTAACATAAAGACTTGCGTCAAAACGAGTCCAACGTTTCCAGCGCTTGTACCTGAAAATAAAATATTCTAACTCATTTGGAATTTTTCACAACCTTTTAAAATTTACAGGAAAATAATAACTAACTGAACAATTTAAAGAAATGTGCTCAAAGTAACCAAAAGAATTAACGTTAGTAATCTAATATTATGTTGGTGTGAAGGCAAAATATACGAAAATCATCTAAAAACTTGTCGTTAACTTAATGTGTGTTCCTTAAGAATTGATACATTCCAGAACACTTCATGTTCTCTGTTGCATGAATAGAAATCTTACTGTTCTTCTAAATGTTAATCGATCAACATAGAGAGTTATAACTGGTTCGAAATCATATTTGTCACTGTCAAATGAATGAAATACATTTCTTGAACATCGAACAGGAAATAAATCTGCTATTGAAATAATTGTTGACATAATTATTTCATGTGCTGATTATGATTTTTGCATTTAATAATAAACAGTATTTTTCAATATTACAGAAAATAGACAATATCAATCTACGTAATCTGTCAATATTGTTGGTGATAGGATTAAAGCGGTATACTCGTATTTTTAGAAATAAAGGTATGGTTTAGTATCAGATCTTTGAATTTAAACAAAGACGCGTTATAATCGCCATATAGCTTGCATATTTATAAGCAAATAAACAAATTCAAACGCATCTAAAAATGTCTGTAAATAATCAATGTTGATTGACTGAGAAATGTAAATAACAAAAGTTTACCAGATACTAGTTGAGACAGATCATTTATCTTAATTGCGGACACTTTACAATTGTGATTTACACCTAACGTAGCATGCCTCCTCCGCCTCTCCTTCAACAATCTATTTTAAAATTACGATAAGTATGAAAAATTGCATGCGAGTTTGGGAGTTCAATGTTAAAAGCTCCACTCGAACAAATAATACTAGCGCGATCAAATTAATCTTAATTCTGACCACGAGATACCCAGTAACAATGCAAGGCGTAACTACGATGTAGCGCATTATCATTTATCTACTGCTCAAATCGTAAATTACGATTAGAATAGAGAGAGATTCAACCGAAAAGTGACTCTGGAAAACTTAATATTAATGAACAAAGATAAACTCAAAATTACTATTTTTTATTAAAAATCAATACAACCCTTGATTATAAATTGATTATACATTTTCTTTTTTGTGTTTTCAAAAAAGATTATTTTTATATTAAATACTAAAAATATTAATTAAATGGTATTTTTTTCTAAATGGATAATAAGTAATCATTTCCGAGGAAAAAAACGCATCTATTTTTCTTGTACTTTATTAATGATCTGTCTTCTGAGCTTAGTTGTAAAAAGCTGTTATTTGCTGATGACTTGAAGTTGTTTTGTGAAGTATCAGTTACTGAACACTGTCAGGAGTTGCAAAGTCAACTACAACTATTAGACAAGTGGTGTACTAATAACTGTCTGCAATTAAATGCAATGAAATGCAAGGCTGTAACTTATACTCGCAAATTGCATCCAATAAAATTTTATTATGCGCTAAATTCGGAAGTGCTTGGCAGGGTAGATTAGGCGTCTTGTTTGATTCACGGCTAACATTTACACATATTGACAAGATCACTGCGTCAGCATTAACGATGCTGTATCATACGCAATTGTCAGTCATTTTCTAGTGAAACTGCCTTGAAGAGTCTCTATAATTCTTACGTAAGAGAAACTGGAATACTGTTCAATAGTGTGGTATCCGCGATATGACGATTTTTTAAATTTTTATCATTTGAAGTAGACGGTTTTTATCCTGAAAGAGGTTATAATCATACCTACTATTTTACTTAATAGATTCAATTTTGCTTCTTTGGAGAATTTCGTTGTTTGTTAAACTTACATTTAGGACAGCAACTCCTGCTCAAAAAGCTGACTGTAAATACTTTAGCAGAAACAAAACAAATGGTACGGTTGTCGGTAAATGATTGCAAGTTTGTGTTGAACAAGTTTAATCACTAGGTCACTGGTGTAACGAAGTGATTTTCCGACACCCCACATTTATGTTCTTTTTGTTTAATTATATTAATAAATATAGTTTACCGCACCGGCATTGTTTTGGCATTTCAAACGCCACCGAAATTTAACCCGTCACCGCGTAGCGCCAAGCCGATGGCCTGCTAATTCACACCGCGTACCACAGTTTTCCGCCAGCCAGCGTAGGGACCAGTTGTGCCGAGCTCAGCCTGCCGTCCAACCAGCGATACGTCACCACCACATAAGTAAGAATTTTACAAGTCCCTCTTAGGAGAACTACGCAGTCGCTGCCGAAGCGTCACCAGGGCTTGGAAATAAGCCGCCGTTAGAGATTTAGTTCACCACGAGTCATTGTAGAATCCAGTCGAACCGTCAGCCGTTCCAGCAAGACCATCAGTAAAGAATTGATAAGATTTCACTAAGTCCAGCCTGAGGAAACTGCGCAGCCGCCAGGATTCGCCGTACGAATACAGCAGACAGGCTGCATTCAAAGGATTAGTCTACCAGGAGCCGTCGTAGCACCCAGTCGAGCAGTCAGCCGCCCTGCCCGGATATACGTCACCGCTGAAAGTAGGTGAGAATTCTACAAGTCCAGTTTAGACGAACTGCGCAGCCGCCAATCCGAGACGAGGGACTTAAGAAACATACGGAATTTGAGAAGTCAGTTCATCTCCAGCCGCCGTAAACACCAGTCCGAAGACCGCCAAAGTAAGTTAGGTTCCGCGCATATTCAATGCGCAAGTCTCTTGAGGCGACAAAGACCTGACAAGGTAATTGTACTGCAGAGTTAGTGCTGTTCCAGCATTTCGACCGACCAGACGTGCCCAGGAAGAGAAGTGAGTGAAGGTTTAGGGAACATAGGTAAAGACTTGGCTGTTGTCCGCTTGTACTAATCATATCTTCACTTTTTAGTTATCCGCCATACTACGACAAGGAAAGGTGCACTGTTGTCTCTGTCCGGTGCATTGAACCTAAACTGCGCGTTCGGCTTGTAGGATGTTGTCTCCCCCTTTTTCTGTCCTATGAGTTGAAACGCAGGTCGTACCGAACCGCAGGAATACGACAAGGAAGGGTGCACTGTTGTCACTGTCCGGTGCATTCGACCTAACTGCGCGCTTTACTGATAGAATGTCGTGTCCCATTTCCTTTCTGTTCTATGAGTGGAGACGCAGGTCGTAGTTAATCTTATTTCTCTTTCAGGTACGACGTGGTTGGGTGTACTGTTGTCTCTTTCCGGTACACTTAACCTAACTGCGCGTTCGGCTGATAGGATGTTGTCATCCTTTCCTCCTTTTCTGTCCTAAGAGTTGAAACGCATGTCGTAATTAATCAAACCTTTCTTTCAGAGAGTTTCTGTCCGCCGCCTACCAGGATTGAGGAGCCCGCTGTTACTGTTTTATTGCCTTTCAGATAGTAGCCAAGTCAAGTCTAGTCTATAGTTATCGTTTGTAGCTTTGCTTTGCGAAATCGCTTCCTTCTTTCTGGTATCTGTACCACCGCTTACCGCATGTTTACCGTTCCGCTAGCGCTGCTGTGCTTTGCTTTCGTCAGGTCACCGCTTAACACCGCACCGTTATTTTACAGTTTTCCGTAGTCACCCCCTGTATATAACCGTAGCCGTTTGTCACCGTTTAGCGATAGATTTAGGGTAGCATAGTGTAAATAGGTAGAATTGGACTATAAATAAATGTAAATATGTACCAATTTGTGGCCTTTTATTCCTGTGTGAAGTCTAACTCTCTCTAGACCCTCTAGACATACCGTGTCTTCATTGTAGCCGCCCGTGTAGTGGTGTTTCTTTAAACAGAAACTGGCGCCCGAGGTAACCGCCGCCGCTCAAGCGTCATAGTGACGAACGACGAAAAAACGACGTCACACTAGGTTACTCTACTTTCACTAAATAGGAACTTGAAAATAAAGTTTTAGGACATGAACTTGCGATGCCTTCGCACAACCAAATAGAATATAATTCAATTCAATAATTTATATAAATATAAGGCCTCGAAAATTATTGAAAAAAATAAAGTGGTGGCATTCTCTGGAAGAAATATGGTATTTAAGGAAGGCTCAAATAAAAAAATGTTATATGAAACACTGTCCATAAAATTAAATAAATATCCCGCATTATATAATTTTTTCCAACTATTATCAGAACATCCTGTATGTATTTTTAATTAGATTTTTTAAGTGGAACGTGTACTACATTCTAGTTGACCCTCGTCTTAAAACATATTTTTTGCAGTTATTTTCAATACCTACCTGTGTCAAGAAATACAAACACTGCCACAACAACGCCGATGAAAACTGAACAAAGAAAGTCCATGAAGAAACCAAAAGCCCTAGTCGTACAGGTTAACGTAAAATTGGCTGATGTAAATAAGTCTTGATATCTGTCAAATTCTTCGATTAAAATATTTTGGGCCTTATATGCCCTTATTGTCGTAAGTCCTTCAAGAGATGCATTCAAATGACCCACCATCGGGCTGCGAGCTAAAAATGACAAATGTGATTAGTAAATAAAAATATATGTGGTGCTCAAAATATATAATCTTTTAATTTAGGTAACAAATGAAAAGAGGTAAGAAATATTACACTATGCTTTCTTTCCAAATCAATAATTGTTTCACAAGTTTTATTCTTAAATCTAAAGGTGGGTCCATATCAATAAATATTTGCGTTGTGCGTTGTATTTAATACAAATTTGCTCGTATACGCCGAAATGTTTATTGTTGTAGTTTGTGCTTTAGACGCAATATATTATATGAATATTTTTTTTTTAGAGACAGAAAACTGGTCGAATTCGTCATGTCGCAAAGAATTTTGTGGAAAATTCACTGCTTTTTTGAATATTGGGCTTCTCGAATTATCTTGAAAAATATCGATATTTCTAATATTAATTAACTAATTTAATATAATTATTAACCATTTCACAGTGACAAACGAGGTATTTTATTTTTTAGTGTACCAAAAATAATTTATTTTTTATAATAACTCAGTAACCTAAAAAATAGGAATGAATTGACTAAATTATGAACTGCAATTCTGCTAGTTTAACGATCCCATATCATTAACAAAAAAAGTTATCCAAGTAAGAGGTCAAAACGATTATCTGCACACAAAAAAAGTCCAAACCCAAGAGAGCTACACATCATTTCCTAAGGAATTCGATGCGCTGAACTTGATTTTATAGCCACAATTCATGACTTCACGACTTTCAGAGAAAAGTGAAATTTTTGTGTGAAACTTGTCTAAATATATTACTTTCGTAGTATTATTTTGAGGCGCTGAACAAGATGCCATTAGTAAAATTTACCCATGACCTCGATATTTCTCAGAAAATCCACCATTTGGGTGAAAACTAGCCGAAATAACGGGTTATCCATTTTCTCCTTGGGAATGTAAAGTTTAAAGAAACACATTGAATATTTAAATTTCGATGGAACTTTTATTTCATAATAAAGTTTGCACCATGCCATTATGCCTGAAAAACAATATCATTCAAATGTCCTCCACGGAACCGTTTGCAGGACTCAATCTTTTTGAGGCAATTTTCGAAGATTTTTTCACACAATTCGGGCAATAATTCGGCCATAATTTGACGTATCTCGTCCTTCAATTACTACAAAGTTGTGGGATTGTTCGCATAACCACGGTATTTCGCATAGCCTCACAAAAAGAAATCCAAAGGCGTTAAATCGTAGGATTTTGGTGGCCAAGCCATATCGCCGAATCTCGAAATTACGTGTCCTGGGAATTTCTCGCGCAATAGAGCCATAACTGGCCGCGTTATGTGGCATGTGGCCCCATTTGGTTGAAACCACATATCGTCCAGATGAAAATCTTTCAATTTCAGGCCAAAAACGTCGATGATCATGACGGCATACCGCTGAGAATTGACGGTAACGGTGGCTCCTTCGTCGTTCTCGAAGAAGTACGGCTCGACGACGCCGCCGGCCCACAATGCACACAAAACAGTCACTTTCTGCAGGTCCAGTGGTCTCTCAGTGGTCACATGTGGCTGCTCACTACCCGAGATTTGGAAATTTTGCTTATTAACATAGCAGCCGAGCGTGAAATGGGCCTCAACAATAAAGATTTTCCTCGAAAAATCAGGATCGGTGGTCTGTTGTTCTAGCACCCAATTGGTGTACTCAGGGCGCAATCTATGGTCAGCCGGCTTGAGTTCATACGGGAGTTGAACTTTATACGGATGGATATGCAAGTCCAAATGCAAAATGCGCACAATGTGCAGTATGGCAGGCCCAAATGCTGAGCTCGACTCGGAGTCGAAAGATTCGGGTCATCGTTAAGGTGGCCATATCCCTGGCCGAGAAATGGTTAAATTTCTGGCATTTTTAGGTACTGAAATCTTGAAAAGTAAAACGTGTAGAACAAAAGTAAGCACAAAAATAAAATCCTTGATGTTTTGTTTATTCATTGTTACCATTTAAATTTACCCAAATAAAATAATTAAAAAAAAGCGTTAGTAAAACATGCGTTTTCTGTTATCCTAACCCCACATTTTAAGAATTATTTTCACGTACTTATAAATAAAAGTAAACAATTTTATATGTAGGACTAAGCAAGTAAATGTTATAAGAATATTTACATGTGGAGTTATGTCTAAAAAAGTTATTATTTTCGTAGATTTCAGTACCTACAACCTTGATGGTTTGATCATTTTTTGCACCTGTTTATTCGTTTTACTGCGGCGTCTTTGAAAATACTCAGGTGGCATGACATAACATTCCTATTATTTGATAAGCTTTAGATTATTCAGTTATTAAATGTTTGAAATTATTTGTCTTTGCGGAAAACACTATTTAAAGAATATGGGGCCCTTAACACTTTCACTCACAGCGGCTATGTTTTCGGTTGTACATGCAAAACGATGATGCACAGGTCTTACGATGTCCGTCCAGTCTCTTGGAATTTTCTCACTGTATTGGTGGTTGTTTGCCGGGATGGACGATTATGTCAATCATAATCTCCGGGTAATACGCGAAATGCAGCCACCGAAGATCCACAATTTTAACGCGTTGTTCGGTCGTAAAACGTTCCATATTGTGAAATGGCAAACCTTTAACTAAACAAATACCAGTCTGGATGAGAGAGACATTTGACAAATATCAATTGGCAGTGCTTTACTATCCCAAGCTCAAAATGGATAACCCGTTACTACTAAAATGATATATTTGGATAAAATTTAGGAAAAAATCCCATTTTTGGGCCAGTTTTCATCAAATAGTGGATTTTTTGAGAAATGTCGAGGTCATGGGTTATTTTTTTAGTTAATTATGGTACCGTGCTCAGCCCGCAAAATAATGTCCCTCCAAAGGGACTAACCTTAACAGAAATTTTTCAAATTTATTCCTTTGAATTATCAAGCAAATAATATTATTTTTTAATGAAGTCGACTTTTTTGAAGAAAAAATAGTTTTTTCGAATTCTGCGTAGTTTAGTCAGAAATAATTATTTTTTAAAATAATGTATGGCTCAGAACAGTAACTTTTTTTAACATTTTAACACAGTAGGCATCTTTCTTTCGTTGTGATGATTGTTACATTGGCAATCAATTACTCGGGAAATAATGGTCGTACAGAAAATCCAAGCAGGGTTTTGAAAACTGCTAAGTATTCTCTACAAGTCGTAATTATTGTTTTTTGATAAAAAAAGTGTAACAATGTAAAAGCTAAGAAGACATATTATTTGTTTTATTTTATTTAGATTTACATTTAGTTTTCGTCGTACCATATGAAAGCGTACGCTAAGCGTCTCTGCACACTATGGCTGAGTAAACCCACTGCATATTGCCTTAAAAGTACCTATATCTAAGGAAAAGGTACATATAATTACTTACTTGCCGCTTCCAGTCTTTTTAAACTTCTCCCTGTAGGTAAATATAGTCTTCTTAAAATAACCAAAATCATAAAGAATATCGCGAATGGAACGAGAAACTTCCAGTTTACGAGGGCCACTAAAAAGATAATTCCGCTCACAGAGAAGGCCACTCTGAAGCATTCAGAAAAAACAAATGGTAGATGCTCATCAATGTTATTTAAGTCTTGAGAAAATCGATTCAATATATTTCCAATAAAATGTGTATCAAAGAACGCCATCACAGCATATATAATGGTTCGGGACATACTTTTATGGATATTAATAGACGCTCTTCTGCAAAAATCATAGAGGGCGTAAGTTTTTATTAAATCCAGCGTTGTTGATACAAAAATCATTAGGGAATATAAATTAATTGTGAACTTCTCTTTTGCTCTAGCTTCTTCCAACACTAACGTAAAATTTATGAATGTAGAATTGTCCGTAACGTTTAATTCAGGTGAGTGCCCGTTAATGTGAAATTCTTTTGTAAAATTGGTTTCGAGATCTAAAACATTTTGCTGCTCATCCACCCTAAAAGATATTTACAAAATTAGACGGTAGAATTGAGTGTAATTTAAAAAAAAAATACAAAGTATCATCCCAAACATTCATGCTGCCTACATAATGAATCTAAATTAGTAGGCTACATTTACTCCCGCGGAAGGAAACCGCACATGCTCTGTGGCTCAACGTCTAGCTATGCAAACGTTTCAAATATTTTCAAGATATATACTCACCATTTGGTGATTAATTGATCTGAATAGCTCTCAGTACCTTGCGTTACACCAAACAAGATTATATTCAATAACATTAAACAAACTCCTCCACCAAACAGCAGATATTTCTTATAAACTATAAAATCAACTTCTCCTTTTTTATTTACTTCTCCATAGACCTTCTTCTTTGTAGTCTGTTCTGTTTCGAGTAATTTAGCCTCTTCTCCTTTTTCCTCACCTTCTTCCTCCTGCCCATTTTCTTCAACTACTTCCTTTTCCAAATCATCGTCTTTACACACCAACTCACTGAGATCCTCAATTATTTTTGCGTCGGGCTTTCCTAATGACTTAATTTGACATTTATCCATTATTACAACATTGTCAGCTTCTTGAATATGGTTAGCGGTTTGAGTAACAAGTATACATATCCTGTCTTTTAGATATTTTTTTATACATTCATTGAATATGTAATCCTGAACATGAGCATCTAGAGCTGTCAAAGAATCGTCAAGCAGATAAATTTCACTTTCCTTATAGATAGCTCTCGCTAGATTTACCCTCGCTTGCTGGCCCTTGCTTAAATTCAAACCTCTGTCCGAAACAATGGTTTCATCTCCTTTATCAAATAAGTTAAAATCATACTGTAAGGCACAAACTCTTACCACATCTTGATACCTACAAAAATTAAATGTTTGATAATATAGTCACCATAAATACTAGAACTTATATTGCCACTGTTTATAGAGGGTTTCCGCGGTATAAGTCCCTAATGTCTAATTATAAAGAATACCGCAAAATAAACTGAAAAATCTCTTACGACTTAAAGAAGCCTAAACTTGTTCTATTTGAATTGACAGCAGCAAGTGCGTGATTAAAGTTATAAATGGTAATATTTTCCAGTCGAGTTGATATAGGAAACGGTAAAAAGGAATTTTGGTTAAATTATTGTACAGTAATATATTAAAAAGTGTTTGTAATAAAATGAAGTGAATGTGTGCAAGTAGCTCTGCAACAAATTGTGGAAAAATTACTCCCATGTATCGACCGGACCGAAGCTTTTTGAGTGGTGATAAACGTGAACAAAATAATAAAGAAACAGGGCTGGCTCAAGGACAAATAGCACTCGAAAATAAAGCTGTTGATCGCTGCATTATGAAATTAAAAGGGAAGAGAGGATTAGTACATAAAAGAACAGGAACCCTTTGAAAAAATAGAAAAACAGTGGGAACACTAGTAAAATAGAGATGAAAAATTTGATAAAATACTAGATCTAATGAGACAAAAGATGAACGACATGAAAAAGGAAACAAAAGAGCGAGAAGGAAACATAAGGAAGTAAAAGATGTCCAAAACTCGAAAACAATAGCCCAGAGCAACAGTACAACGAACTAATAAAAGAGAAAGAGGATATAGGGAAGTTGTTAGAGGTGTACAAACAAATTTAGGATGACCAGGAATAGAGAGAAAAAGAAACAATATTGGTATGGCAGGCGACATAGGGGACAAAACCAAGATACCTGAGTTAACATGTTCATCAACAGATTTCATAGACAGACGAGCATAAAGGGAGGAGGTGGAGGAGGAATTACAAGGCGAAAAGAGAGTTAACTGGTATGAAGGTACATGATATTTCTCTCTCGCCGAATATGATTGGCTGTTCCTGTCACGGAGGGGATCAGTCGCAAGCCATTTAGATTTGTTTTCTTACAATTAGATTTGAAATTAACTAAGATATATCGCTTTGAAAAAAAGTCGTCTATTGACACTTTTTTTAAATAGCTCCTAAATTAACTAAGATATATCGCTTTGAAAAAAAGTCATCTATTGACACTTTTTTAAAATAGCTCCTAAATTAACTAAGATATAGAGCTAATCTAACTCGATCAACTACTATTAGCGCCCTCTACAATACAACATAGGTTACGATTCCTATTGGTGGCAATTTCGCCATGGAAGCCTTTAAGAAGAGGATTGGAACAATGTGTTCGACTGGAAGGAGGTTTGGTGGAGAAAACTAAAACTTAATTTAGATTTAAGAAATTATTATTTTTATAATGAATTAATATAATTAAAAGTATTCTTTCTTTGCCCGATTCGTATTTTTTTTTCACTTTCGTGGCAATCTTTGACCTGCTTATTATAATTTTTAGTTGTCTGATTTTTCGAAATTTGGCACCACATAAAAATACACTCAATAGACATTTGTCGTTCAAATTTGATATATGGGTATTTTAATGGGTGTTGAATAGCATGGTAATATTATCTTTTTAATAAATAAATGACTAATACTACTTTTTGGAAAAACGACCCTTAAAAATCGTAGTAGGCCAAGTTTTTGTGACATCAATAAAATGATTAGTAGAATATAACCTCTTTTCAGGGTACTATTTGCAAAAAAATTGGCTTGCGGAAAGTCCACAGCCTTCTCACATTTCCAGAGGTGTTAACCTACAAAACGAGACACACTGTATATATACATTATTGTTACACTTAAAAGTGAACAGTTTTAGTTTTTAATATAATTTCTTTTATTTTGTAAGTTTTGTTTAGAATTTGCCGAACTTCCGTATAAATTGTATTATCTAGAAAACGTTGAAGTTTATGGCTTTAGAACTTTTTGTTTATATTGACCTAGGGTACTTACACAAACAACACCCTCTAGTTTAGACATAAACTATATTTCTTAAGAAAAGAGCCGAAAGATGGTTTGACATAATCATCTATAAATAGATTAAAACCTTTAAAGATCGAATACATATCTATATTAATACACATATTAGAAGCCCCAAATTCAAAATAACTGAAGTTAGCGACGCCATATTAGACAATTGTAAAATAGGTAACAAATGGTCTAATTTCATGAATAAATTTTTCTATCACTTCTACTTTAACCAGAAATGGACACAATTTTCGAAATTGAGATTGGATGTCCTATATTTTTTCTACCGTTCAAAAATACATTTCAAATACTTCTGTCTTGATTAAAATTTATTCTTCTAAAATATCTAGAAAGCATTGCTTTGACACAAAAATTTGCTATTTAGCGTTACTATTTCACTATGTTATATATGATGTCGCTATCTTAAATAGTACACTATGGTTTAAGTATAATATTACAAAAGATGTACCTTTTTTCGTCATAATTTTCCCCAAATAATATATTTTGTTTTATAGATGAAGGGAAAAGCCACGGTTCTTGAGAAGCGTATGAAATGCGCCCATGCGTCACCACATGACCACTAGTTAAAGGATAATCCTGCAAAATAGTTTTTAACAAGGAACTCTTTCCAGATCCGACAGTACCAGTCACAAGAGTTAATCCGGAGTCGGTCCTGAAAGTTACATCCTTCAGTACTGTATGTTTGTTTATGTGGACTGTGCCGTTTTTGAGTTCTATCAGAGGTTTAAGAGTTGGTTCATCTGTTCCTTTCTTGGGAGGTAACTCTTCAGCTTTTATTACCCTGTTTATCCTTACTACAGCGGAGTATAGTTCTGCTGCTCTGCCCATACCAAATGGTATTATTATACCCAAGGTATGTCGAAGATCTTTAAAAATGTAAAGGATGTAGAAGACTAGTTCAGTGTTTGTTACGAATCCCATCCATATATAACCCACCACAAGGATGTAAAACGCTACTCTTGAGCATAGTATTCCTCCGATGACCATCACTATTCTTAGATAAAACACGACCAGCATCTTATTAATCTCTTCTCTGAAACATGCATATTGTCATTGTAATTAATACTAATAGTCACGCATACAAAATAAATAGGTTTAATCACAAGAAATTAAAATTACCTTTAAAGATATTAAGCCCAGTCTAAACCTAAACATTTTCATATATTGTTATATTGTGATTAACGACTTTGAAAACGACCGAGTACCAAGTTTTATGCATAATCTTCAAAGTTTGAATGCTATTCCGATTTTTACGTCCGCCATATTAGATACGCCATCTTTTATTCGAGAATTTTCGGATTCGGACTTCAGGGTCGTAGTCAGCGACCCCAAAAACCCTCGATAACAAAATTTAGGCAGAATTATTGAATAGAAAAATGTGTGACTTAAAGGGGTTAGTAGGACTTTGGGTTGTAGGTGATTTCCAACCATTTGAGAGATAAGTTACATTATATGTATTTTTTTGCTGTCAATTTAGCCCACATACTAATAATAATAATAATAATAATAATAATAATATTTATTCAACTAATATCAACAATACAATAATGTACATATATACACATATATACATACATATACATAAAAAGTGAATAAATATATACTCGATAAGTGTTTAACACTTGTTTCAAGATAAACACAATAAAAGGAAAGGAATACAGTACTTACAATGAAATTTCAGTGCATATTCACAATAAACATACATATATTACATATAAACCAACAGTTGCATAAAAATACAGTACACTAAAAAAATACACAAACTACATCAACGAACTAGGTGCACTAGTCTGCTGGAACCTAATGAAAATATTCATACAACACTTCTCTAGGCGTTTCCAATATATATATTTTAAGTTTTTTCTTGAATGAAGAAAATGACGCATTATGAATTTTTAAATAATCAGGTATCGTATTATATAATTTTGGAGCCAAATACATATTGGATCTTTGACCTATATTTTTTTGCATCAAAGGAGGTAAGTATTTATTTATTTTCCTTGTTTCATAGTGATGTGTGATTAATTCGCATTTGTCCTCTACTAAATGATATCTAGAGATACAATTATAATAGTATAGTTGCCTTATATCGAGCATTTTGGCTTCACTAAATAATTCGCTAGTAGAGTAAGTTTGTTCCTTCTTAAATATTATCTTTAGAAATCTTTTTTGCAGTATTTGAAGAGGTTCAATATGACTCTTAACAGCAGAGCCCCAGGCTAATATAGCATAATTTATATGGCTTTCCACTAAGGAGTAATAGATGGTCTTCAAATACTGCATGGATAACAAACTACCGAGATACTTAAAGGTATGTATTATTGACTGAAGTTTTTTTATAATATAATTTATATGATTATCCCAACGTAAATGACAATCTAATNGAATCAGTCTTTAAAAGTGCGGGTCCATAGACAGTATCCCAGTATGAGATTTTTGAGATTATTAAAGCATTACAGAGGTTTAGTTTTAATTCCGAGATGATTAGGTCTCGATTAGGGTACAGCTGTTTTAAAACTCTATAAGAGACTTGACATAAATAATTTAAATGCTTGGAAAACCTCAAACTTTCATCAAACCACAGACCTAAGTTTTTACAATTATTACTAATTTTTATAGACTCATTTGCTATTTTAATGTCTAGAGATTGTTTTATTAAATTTCTTTTAATTCTGGGACCGAAAAGGATGATATTAGATTTCTTAGGATTTAATTTTAATTTATGAGCAACTGAAATATTTAGTAAGGAATTTAAATCGTTGTTGATTGCTTCGTTAGTGAACTGTAAATCTTCAATAAAAAAGTTGAAGTATACTTGAGAATCATCAGCGTAATGATGAATATTACATATATTTAAAACCCGAAAATAATAAGGAGCTAAGTATAGAACCTTGAGGTACGCCAAAATTTATTGATAAGGCGTCTGACACCTTTGAGTCAGAAATTACTTTTTGATTACGATCGTGCAAAAAACTATTGATTAGAGACCCGGATGAATCATCAAATCCATAAAATTTTAACTTATTGATGAGAATATCGTGATCCAAAGTATCGAACGCCTTACTATAATCCAGCAAAACAAGACAAGTCACTTTTCCCTTATCAGTAGCCTTCACAATATCGTCTGTTATATGTAATAATGCAGTAGTAGTACTATACTGTGACCTAAAGCCAGACTGGCAATATGGAATAATATTATTACCAAATATATACTTTGATATCTGATTTTTCAAAACTAACTCACAAACTTTAGACAGTGTAGGAAGTACGCTAATAGGGCGAAGATGATCTAATTCAGTCGGATTACTATTTTTTGGTAATGGAATGATGTTAGCAGACTTCCAAGCACTAGGAAATGTAGACGTATGTATAGATGTGTTAATTATATGCGTAATATGTTCTAATAAAAAATCACTAATCAACTTTATCATAGCAAATGATATCATATCAGAACCGATGGAGTGACTTTTAATCGAGTTTATGTATTTTGAGACATCTTGCGAGGAAACTGAAGTGAAGGAAAAAGTGCAACCGTTGTTAAAGGTAGACTTTATATTTATTAAGTAACGAAGTTTGTTCTACAGTAGGCATTGGTGGTGAAATATCATTAAAATAGATATTTATAGCATTTGCATCTTTCAAGTTTTCCGGCAAATCCTGTTATATCTAAGAATCTTAGCGAAGGATTTGCTGTTTTTATTTTTTAATGTATCATTAAGAAATGCTTTTTTTCATTACGCACTGCAGTAGTGATATAATTTCTCAAATCTTTATAGTACTTACTTTATAGTATAGTATCTTTACAGTACCCAATCTGTATTCGAGCGAGTACTTTTATATTTCAGAAACGCTTTATCACGTATCTTCATCATTTCTTTTAGGGTATCTGTGAGCTACGGGGCACGTTTTTTTGTAATTTTAACTGTGCGTGAAGGGGCATGAGTATTAAATAGCTGCAGTAAATTCAAATTAAAGAAATTAATCATGTCATCCACATTTTGCAAAGTAAATTGATAAAATATAAATCATTGTAAAATAAATGTTCCTCGAAATTTCTAAAGTCACGAAATGTTAACAATTTTTGCGAGTTTTAAGTTTTATAGAAGTAACAACACATGAAACCAGAAAATGGTCAGAAACACCAACAACATCCCTAACAATCAAGGACCCTATGATATCTAAATTTGAAGTAACTAATATTTGGTAGTATAAAATACAAGGCTATAGTTTTTCACATTTCACACACATTCACACTAACATTCGTTATTTGGTGTTAGGAGTGGTGGATGCGGATTTAATTTGGATATATTTTTTTCTAATGCTCGAAATATTATTTTAAAATTCTCGAAGTATTTACAAATTGTTGCTTTTCATTATAAAGCTTTACCTCATCCTCACTACTTCACCCTATTTTGGGGATATTTCAGATTCAGCGTAAAAAATACACAAAATGTATGCATTTATGTCTCTGGTACCGAACTTTCTTTTTGTCTGTGGCTGTAAAATATACCTACTTACTAGTACTTACATTCTTGCTTCTGTCACCTTATCATTAAAGAACCTTTCCCACGTATACATCTTTATTATTCTGATTGTTGATAGAGTCTCCTGCGTCACTTGTAGACGTTGATCAGTTTTTTTACCCACTCTTAACCTCAACTCACTAATCTTTTTTCCAATATATACTAAAAAATCCCATATCATATAGTCCAATTTATTTCTTATATGCTATCCTGCCTAGTTATCTCTTTTTGATCGTACAAGAAAGTACTATGTGTACAGGTGTGACCAATAAATGTTAAACATTCTTTAAAGATTTTTATTTATTTGTAGATACTTTTGTTGGTATAATACGGAAAAATTTTGACAACTACCGAGAATCTCAATAATTTTCTCAAATGGCATATGAATACCTAATTTTTGGATGGCGTGAGATCATAAGGTTATCTACCTTTTGTAACCAATATCAGTTTGAAAATAATATACAAAGTGTTGCATTTACCCGGCTACATTTCATCATTTTCAAACTGCGAAAACATTTGTTATTTCAAAATCCTGTATTTGTTGCTCGATTTAAATTTAATTTTATCTAAAACAGACAAAGTAAATTCAAGTTACGACTTTGTTTTTACATGTATAAAATGAAAGAAAAATTAATTTTTCAAATAGTTGAAGAAAAAGTTATAGGTTTTTCAGGATTGAAATTAAATATAAATATAATCTCAAAAAATCAGTAATGCTCAGGAGCGGATATCTGTGGTCTTTTTTTATCCTCTGGGGAAGGATGTTACGTCCTTCCAGAAAATCTTCAGAAAAGATATAGGAACCAGCATAATCGAATATGCACAAATAGTCAGGCAGCTTTGCACGAGTTTTTGACGCGCAGGATTACCGCGTAGTCCTGGATTTTGTCAACGCCCTAGCCCTGTTGGGGCGGGATAATCGTGCGAACCTGACTTGGATTCCTGGTAACAGTAATGTGACTGTCAATGAAAGGGCTCAACAGGGCTCAAGCAGTATATTCATGGGACTTGAACCAGTACCCGGGTTACCACAATGTTACGAAATAGGATTCTTTAATAACAGGATTAAAGAAAAGTCATTGAAAGAATGGTTAGGTGAATCTGATCTGCGACAAGCCAGGCTTGTCATAGAACAAATCGGAAGGTTAGTCAGTAGAAACGGTATTGGGTCTGTCGCAGAACTTTTAACGGGTCATGGACATCTAAACTAGCACCTAAATTGAATTGTCAGGGTGTTTAATAGTAAAAAGGCGTATTTCTGTCACCTCTGGATATTAGAGAGATTTCAACAGAGCTAATGCTTGCTCTCGCATGAAGTACGGGCCTGCTTTAATGCATAAAGTGTCGCACAATCTGAGTGCAGCGGATAATTCATCGTTTCAAAGCTCATGAAGGAGACTCTGAAATGGATAGATGACTGGTGTAAGGGGCAGGCACTGTCAGTAAACCCTAACAAGATGGTCTTAGTATCCTTCACCAGAAGAAATTTGACTGGACTCCCTGAACCTATTTAAAGGGAGAGGTGCTTTCGGCTTTCTAGGAGTGATACTGGATAATAAGCTTGCCTGGAATGCACATATGGAAAAGGTGGTGATTAAAGCGAAGCAGATATTGTGTGTATGCCGTCGCCTTATATCATACTGGTTGTATACATCGATAGTAAGAACTAGGATTGTTTATGGGGATGTGGTATGGTGGCAAAAAAAAAACACAACAGACAACAGCGAGGAAAAAATAGAATCCAGAGACTGGCGATAACGGGGTGATGGCATCGACTCCGACAGCTGCGCTAGAAGCCGTGCTAAATCTACCACAGCTGCATATAGTGGTGGAAAGAGAAGCGTTGTTAACAGCATACCGACGCAGAAACAATAACGACTGGAGAGATAGTCCCTATCCCAGTATTATGGACATATCTATGTCGGAACCAACTCCTGGGATGGTATCTGATTCCAAGGTTTCACTTCCACAAACCATTTGAAACTTGAATAAAGGATCAAATCAAATGGGAGGAATAGTTTGACACTTTGGAAGGATGGAGCTTAGTATGGTTTACGGACGGCTCCAGAATGACCAGAGAGACGGGTGCAGGAATATATGGACTCGAACCCAGATGGAGTGGAAGCTACACTCTGGGGAGGTTTCCTACTGTAATTCAAACAGAAATTTTCACGGTATTGGCGTGTTTAGCGGAGAATATACGTAGAGGTTATAATCACAAATTCATATATATATTCTCCAACAGTCAAGCTGCAATTAAAGCTTTAGGCACACACGAGATAAGTTCAAAGCTTGTGTGGGTATGTTTACAAATACTGACTGAACTGGCTACCGCTAATACAGTTAGACTGTGTTGGGTGCCAGGACACAATGGCATTAATGGGAACGAGAAAGCGGATGAATTTGCTAGGAAGGGATCCGAAACAGAGTTCATTGGCCCGGAGCCTTTCTGCGGTACATCTCCCAGGGGGCTCTGGGCAAATGGACTAAGACAGAACACAGGAAATATTGGACTTCAAGGCCAGGGCAAAGCTATTCTAAGGAACTTAAGTAGTAGGAGTTGCTGAGCTTGAATAAAATTCGGCTCAGGAGAGTGACGGGACTTATAACGGGACACTGTTACTTTCGAAAACATAATCTACATAAGTTAAAACTTGTAGACATTCCGGGCTGCCAAGGATATGGCTCGGCGGATGAAACCTCTCTGCATATCCTGGGCGAGTAGCCAGGATTTGCATGTAGTAGAATGACGCTCCTAGGAAGAGCTTATCTGGAAGAAGCTGAGAGAAGTGTCAACAAGGAAGCTTTTGGATTTTGTAAGAACAAAACTACTTGCTGAACAGAACTGAGTAGTGAGATGTACAATAGGCCTGATAAGGCCGCGGTGCCATGAGACTTATCAGAACCAACCACTAGGAAAAGAAGAAGAAGAAGAACTATGTCGCCTTCAAAACAACAACAAAAACTTCTAAAAATAGAATGAAATATTATTATTTGACTTATATTATTACAAAAGTTGAAATACCTTTTGATCCCATTCCGGGCCTTAGCATTATTCGATATAAATTACGGAGATTCAGACCTTTGTCTAACTATCAAAATTTTTTACAAATTGGCAAATATTTTTGAAACGGTTAACTTTAACAATAGGATATGCTACATATTTTTTGAGTAAAATTTTGTATAGCCACTTTAGGTGTAGCAGTAAAAAATCATCAAGGAACCTCTGTATACAAATTAAAGATATCAATTAGAATTTTTTTCGCACATACTGCTAATCAAATGTTTTATGACTGAATGATCAGCGCAAATACTTATATTATGAAAAAAAAAACTTTCTTTTAACAACAATTGTTCAGGTTACTGTAGCATCAACTTACTTTGTAGAGGTAAGATACTGAACAAAATTCCAAGGCCAATGAAAGTAGTAACTCCAATTTTGGAATAAAGCAAGTAACAAGAAACGGCGACACGTATGATTCCTATCCAAGTGTCATTGATCATCCATATTGACAGATAAAATGTATGAACGTCCTTAGTAATAAGTGTGACGACATTTCCCAAACTGATTTCAGACAGAGCTGACGGCGTAAGTTTCAGAGCTTTTCTATACAGCAGGGAAGAAAATGCCGTTTTAATTTCTATAGCAAGCTGTTGGACGTTAATAATGTAGTTGTGGATGTAGAAACACTGACATATATTTACTAGCATCATCAAAGCTGCATAATAGTAGGCATCAAATTTCGTCATCTGCGAGTGAGGTTTAAAGTAAGCTATCAGGGAACTAACGGCATAGGGCTCCACTACACTAATTAAAAAAATATATACATTTTGATTATTTTTTATATTAAAATATATTGACTATTAACATACCTAGTGAATACTTTCCATGTCATGTTAATAAGCCCTAAAAACATATATCTGTAACCAAATCTAGCCCATAGAAGTCGATTTATAGAAGGCGGTGAATCTTTTTTATTTTCTATCATCCATTGTTTTTCGATTTCGTTGCCACAACTTTTAGAACTGCAACTTTTTATTACCTCATATAAGTCAGATTCCTCTAGATCGGAGTGTTTATAGCCTTTCTTAAATATTTCTCCTGTATATCTAAAAAGGTGATGGTAATAAATCATTACAATTTTAAGATAAATAAATTTGCTCCTTAAAGAGCTATTATAGACCTAACTAATTCTAAAAACTTATTCTTACTAAAACTAGTTAAGAATTGGTAAATTTTTTCAGAATATTAAGTTTTTATGTCTAACAATAAGTAATATTTTCTTTTGCCAAGTATTAAATTTTCAAAGATACTACGACGCTTTAATGTAAATATCGTATGCATGTGTCACATGACATAAGTTTATAGGAATAGAACATATACAATATTTATTTGTCAATAACAAATATCTAACTGTTATCCAGATGTGATTGCACCATTTAAAAATACATCTTTTAATTGTTTAAGCTGCAAGATGTTATCTTATCCGGTACTCTTCTAAATGTTCCAAATGATAAGCAAATACACAGGTAGTAGGTATTATTTGTTTTTAATACGAGTAGGTACAGACTTTTACATCTTTGTTATTTTTAATATTTTGCCATTCTCAAAACTAGAGTCGACGTAAATAAATTCCCATGGTTACTGATAAAAATATTGACAGTCTATCAATATTTATTCTCACATGGGTCAATATTATTATCGATAATTTAAAATATTAACACTATTTGACCGAAGTGTCTTAAAATAAAAGTTTAGTATTTTAGCACATATTACGCCAAGAACTTTTCCGGAAAGAGAATGTTAAAAGTGATGGGTTTATTTCAAGATGCAAAAAGAGGCTAAGTTGAACTTTATATCAATCATAAATAAGGCAATCAATGGAATTATTATTATCATTATTTTAAAATAGCTTGATGGTACGACCTTTTGCTCATTTATCTCGAAAACAGTGCATTCTACAAACAATTGAATTATGTTTTTATAAAACTTTAATTACTCTATTATAATAATGAGTTAATTTGTACCTTCAAATAAACAATTGAGAACGAGTGCTGACCATTTGAATAAAACTTAGTTGTACAGAGTGTTCCGAAAAAGAGAGAAAAAAAATTTAGAGATTTTTTAAAATTAAATTTTATCAATACAAGTAAATTTTTGGGAGTGCTAAATACTTTACTGTTATTAGTTTTTGCTAGAAGTCACTAGCTTATATGTCTCTCAGTGACATTTTTAGACATAACTTTTTTGAGGTTAGGGTTTTCACAGTGTTCGTCATATATTAATTACAATATAAAATATCATTTTACACAAAAAAAAACTTGTTAAAATCTCTCAAAATGCACTGTTTTTTGAGAAAAACATAATTGGTAGTCCCAAAGCCGACCAATTTTTATTTCATAATATACAGCGTGTTTGGAAACCGAATAGTATGAAAATAAATCGATTTACATCAAGTTGAATTCCTATAATTTTGCAAATGGAACCTCAAAAAAATATTTTATTTCATCTTTTTTTTCAGGGCCTGTAGCATTTTAAGAAAGCAAAATTGTATCCAGGCAATTACTTTGGCACAATTCAGATTTTAAATCTGAATCGACGTATTTTTATTCAAAGAAGCTATCTTTGAAGTACGGTCCATTTGTTTCCCGATACGCTGTATATTAAGAAATAGAAGCTGGTTAACAGTCAATGGCGATATACAGTGTGTCCAAGATAGGGTTGGGATAGCATTAGGATCTAGGAAACGGTCAAATATACGGGGTGGCTCAAATTAGAAAAAAGTTGTTTTTTTATACCTAAGAATACGCCGTTTAGAAATTTTGCAAAATCGTTTTATTTTTGTGTGGCTATATTTTAAAACGAGTTTTAAAATAAATTGTATATTTACAGTGACACTTTTCTCTATCCAATGGCGTCAACATTTTTTGCAATCTGACGTTTCATCTTTATCTTGGACACACTGTATACTATAAAAATGCTAACCTCAAAAAAAATATGTCTTAAAATGTCACTGACAGAGATAGTAACTAGCGGCCTCAAACAAATGGCCAAAATTTAACGACGGTGATATATTTCATCAACATCATCGAAAATTTTCCTCTACCAATTTTCAATGCAACATATTATTGCTTGGAAAAGATATAGATTAAAATAAAAAATAGTAGTCTCATTGCCCATAGGACATAATTGTGTTATTATTATTACTTTTTCTATATTCTATCTCCTCTTATATTTTTTGCACTCACTTTAGAAACAACCTGTATATTATCTCCACATTAAAGTCACATTCTATAGTAGTTTAATTTAATAAAATTATTACTGGTTATTTAGTTTGACAATTTTAATTTCGCGACGGTTATTAATACTGAAAAATCTAAGATTTACTTTGATACAACGTAAGTCAAATTTTAGAGACGATAATAGAAAAATTTTTAAATATTCCATCTACAAAATATTCACAATAGAGTTATTGCGTTGTAGATGTAAAAGTATAATCCTTTTTTTTAGTCTTTTAACATATTTGATTGTGTGTTGCTATAAAAATGTCATGGTCTGCAATGAACACTCTGTATATGTGCAATTTCAATAAAAATATTAATGTCTACTATAGTTCCTCTTATGTTAGAAGAGAATAAAATATTATCTGCATTTTTTTTTAGTTACTCATTACTTAATTACTCACAAATTGTCAAAAAATTATTTTTAAAAAATTACTTACGCAAATGTGAGTGTGGAAATGATGTTAGAAGTCTCCTTGGGATTCTTCGCCCTGTTTTCCTGTTCACAGTGATCCATTCTGTATATCTTTATTCACTTCTACGAATAGTTAATTCAGCTACGTTTAACCCATAAAAATTAGAGAAAAGCAACTGACTCCTATTCACGTATTGATTAAAAAATGGTGTCCAGTTATGTAGAAATACATTCTTGGCCTAGGTGTAGCACCCAACTAATTGAACATTTCAATTGTCAGCACTTCTTCTCAGATTTATCACAATATCTTTGTACAAATAGTAGTAGTTAGATATTTATTTTAAAATTGTGTTTCTAAAATAATCCAAATAGTACTAAGCCTACAAATTTCTACTATTTGAAGAGTTTATAAAAGACAAAATAATTTATTATCCCTCAACGAATAACTTTTACCTTTCATATTTGCCTGTGTCGTCACAGGGTACTTTTCCTTAAAATAATATATCATGGAGTAGCAGATCCACACCTATTTATTTCGCACTACTAAAATTTAAAGAATAGTTTCTTGTAAAATTGTCACAGTATAAAATTATGTCAAAATATTATTTATATACTGCACGATAACTAATGAAGTGAAATCTTTAGTTTATGAAAAAAGTGGTAGCAGTTTAAAAATAATTAATAACAACATGATAGTGAGTTTATTAACACGAATATTTTCTATACTTCGATAAATTATTTTAAAGAATAAGATAATGCACTTTAACATTGTTTAAAGGAGATTGTAACAAGTAATATATAGTGTAATTAACATTGATCCAAATAGATACCAGTGTAAAATTATATATTAAGTACCACAGGACTAAAGTGCATGCATGTGTAGTAAAAACGCACTTCGTGGCTGACCCATCCAAGTCCTTGTCTATAAAATATTGACATATATATTAACAGACACAGTATTATTGACCTTATTTTCTTCCCTTGACATGGGAAGATTAACTGTAAACGCAGCTGGACCTGAGGCTTCATCTTGCTTATTTCAACCTACTTGGGATCCTCCACTTGAATCTTCTTTGCTGCTTTATTAGACAGTGAATAGGGTAAGTGGTTTCCGCCTAAGGTGACCTTTAATGGTCGTGTTGTCGTTCACCATTTTTATTTTCCTTTAGTGGATTACCTCTAGTATGGGGAGAACTAACGTTTTGACCAAGATCCCCATGTATTGCCTACGGTTCTGGAACTCTGAGGTTTTCGAACGCCTTCCTGTATCTGTATCACTATCTCTTTGTCTTGCCTAGCACTATTTATGAGATTTCCTGCGAGTACCCGAAATATGGAAGCTTCTTTTGGAGCTTGTGAAGACCTTCTACGAGTACCTACCTATAGATTTGGGAAGTTTCTAGGACTTATTTTATCACTTGATATCTTCACTACAGGATTAGACAATGCCTGTGTGGATGGAGCTATAGAACTGAATTATTAAAAATTTGAATTTATTGGAAAAACAAGTGATATGCAATAAATAAATTGACTTATAAAGAGCTTTGTACTGGGTGTTTCAGAATTAAGTCGATAAACTTTGGAAACGTGTTCCTCTGGTCAAAATAAATAAAAAAATGTATATAATGAAGTCACGGTCCGTAAAAAAGACGGTCGAGTAATAGACAGAAATTATGGGCGTGGCTTATCTCATACTACGTCACAAGATGTCTAACCATTAGAATTCATGTTTGTTTACATGCGACTTAAGTAGTAATTTTGCATTTTTCCAAGTATTTAAGTAAATCTTTCCTAGTTGTTTGGGTATTTTGCAGTAATTAGTTAGTTATTGATAATAGTTTTTAATAAGTTGATGATGTAGTGTTTAATATAAACTATTAATTTACCACGTAAAAATGCCAGGAGTGAGGTGTAGTGTTGTAATTTGCAATAATAATTATTATAGTGCTAAATAAGACAATTTAAAAAACTTTATTTAATGTGTTGCCTAAGGATAAAAGGCTGTGGAACGGTGCAAAAGACGCGATTTGTTTAATCATATAACTGGACAATACTGGACATATTTGTAGTACACATTTTAAAGACTCAAACTTTGAATGCAATCTTCAAGCAGAGCTATTAAATTTATCATCAAGAAAAAGACTATGTTAAATATGTTAAATTTCTAGTTTAATTGATTGTATTCACTTCAAAAGGACTAATTTATTGTTATTGTTGTATTACAAATTGATGTGATTGTTAGAAAAGCAATTGAAAATTATAAGTATCTATCGAAATGTGATTTTAATATTTTTGTAAACGACAATTTTTCTTAAAATTAAATGTTATGTCAAAAGTTCTGTGCGAATAACTTTTCCTCGTCTTCCTTTCCTTTTATTCCTCCATTTAACTCCGAACACCGAAAAAAATTCTTTCAAGACTAAAAACTACTGTATAGTTTACTTGTAAAAACTTAGGATTTTTTTAATTCGGAACATCAACTGTAAAAGGATAAATATGATAACTAATTGGTACGTACAAAAATAATTATGTTGCAGTGTATTATAAAGTACTTTGGTAAGTTATTTGAAATTTGACTAAAGACAAAAGCAGATACAATAAGATCATATAAATTGTACCTACACAGTTTTTATTTTGGAGCCAAGTGAATATTAAGATAGATCTAAATTGTTTATATATTCACTTCCCCTCTTCATTTTTATTAGAGTTTATGGATATTAATAGATATATGTAATAAAATTAACACAAATTTTAGGTAAAAAGACTTTAGATAGATCGAAACCGAATCATACACTACATACTTTCTTGCATCTAATGAGCTATGAATAAAATTAAAGAGAGCGATAGATCCACTTGTGTCGATCTTCCCTGTAAAAAACCATGTTGATGTTATGTTATTACATTATACTTCGCTACAAATGAGACAATTTTTTTATAAATACATTTTTCAATAATTTTGCATATTACAGTTTGAACAGTTATAGGTCTGTAATTATCAACACATGTGGTGCTATACTCTTAATCAACCTTATCGAGAGGCAGTCGACATACACTGAATTAACATTTCTCAAAGCGTTGATAGCAGTATTATAAACGTACATTGTAGTATTATTATTAAAGTTTATCCTGGACAATAATTGTCTCTTGGTGTTTTCTCGTATTTGCTTCCGCTTTATGGCATATTCAGTTTATTTAGGTTCTCTCATAAACTTGTTAATAGTTATTGGTTTTAGTTAAGGAAATATAAGTAGGCTGATTTAAATCCAATGGATTATTTTATACGGTGCAGTTAAACAAAAATTGCCAGTCGATACCTTCGAAAATGTAAGAGAAAGAATAGTCCTGGCATTTCAAGAATGAACTCCACTTCAGTGACGGTCGGCCACCAGTTTCGTAATTAGGAGAAGTCTAGTTTGCTTACAAACCCGATGCAATCATTTTGGACAAAGCACTTTCTAAAGAATTTATTATCATTTTGATAGTTATTACTTTTTCATGTTCCATTTTTAGTTATAATTTCTTGTGTTTTAACTACTTTCATTTCATGCACATTAATAAACCATCATTGCTGTTAAATGTATTATTTAATTTTATCAACAAAGTAACAGATTTAGCCATTTCGCGTGAAAAAAGTTTATGGTTAAAGTTACTGAAACCTTCGCATATCATTACCTAATACTGATATCTGAATATACCACAAAAGTATTTGAAAACTGTTCAAGTATTAAACGCTTTAAATTGAATATGCTTTACATTAATATACAAACTCTGAAAAACAAGATAAGTGAATCTGAATTTTTTCTACAAAACTATAATTTTGGTTTTCTATTTATTAACCAACATTGGTGTAAATATGACGAAATTGATTTTTTATGTATTTGTAATTACATATGGAGGGCTCAAAAACCAATTAGTGTAAGCCAGTGAATATAGAAAATGAGAACATTGGCTATTTGTAAAACTTGTAATAAAATAAGGAGATTCCCGTAAAGATATTAATAAATTATTTTTATTGAAATATAGGTAACATTTCATACATTCATACATTTCATACATATATTTCAAGCTTTAAGAAGAAACCTTCAATAGGTAACTCAATTTCCAGAGAAGTGACTTACACTGATTGGCTTCTGAGCCTTCCATATAATCTTATTTCTAGATTTTGCAGGTGCGATCATATACATTATGGGGTAGCGATATATGCTTTAAAAATGATGAATAATTATGTCTTGATGATGTAAATGATCTATCGATAGAATTTCATTGTGAAATGGTGGCTGCTGGATATCAAAATATTAGACTTATGACAGTTTACAGATCTGTAGATGGGAACTTTGATACATTGCTGGATAGACTTAATGCGGCTTAAAATTTACCAATAAGAAATAATAAATTTGTTTTTGTTACCGGTGATTTTAACGTTCATTTTTATGAAAAAAATGATGAATATGCTACTACTAATTAACATGTTTCATTCATTTGGCCCATTTCATAGATTTAAAGACCTCTAGAAAAAATAGCTGTTTTGTTAATGCAGTTGATGAATATTTTACTGTAAAAAGTAAAGTAATAGACAGCTTCTAAAACACTCGTTTATCTTGGTTTGATGACAATCTGAAGCAAATGCGCAAATTTTCTTCATGATTTTTATAAAAACAATCCCACTAAAGTAAATAGGACCATCTACAGGGTAGGAAAGTACCGTTGATCTATCTGAAGTTACGTGAGAGCGATAAAGTAAGCCATAGAAATCCATGCGATAGAGAAGGATGGCTATAATGAAGGCCTCTCATAGTCACCGCCCGTTTCACCCTTCCACAAATAAGATCCACTTCTTATTTGTGGAAGGGCGAAATGGGCGTTGACTATTAGACGCCTTCATTCTAGCCATCCTTGTCTATCACATGGATTTCTATGGCTTACTTTATCGCTCTCACGTAACTTCTGATAGACCATCAGTACTTTCCTACACTGTATAGTAACTACCGTTATCTATAACGCAAGAAAATATCAGAATCTAAGGTAAAGTTTAATAATAATTTTGTGAGGAATCATGATAATCCGCAAAAAGCAATGTGGAACATTATAAATGGTTTTAAAATTGAACCTAGCCCTACTTTTTCTACTGTTACAGCCGAAGAATTTAACAACTTCTTTGTCGATATATTTCATTAATTTACGTACTTGTAATCTGCAATTCACAGATTACCTACATAGTAGTGATGGAGAAAATAAATTTCAATTTATGGAGGTAACACCCTGGGAAGTAGCCA